CTCTCAGGATATTGTGACAAAATCAACGTTTCACATTGCTTCCACCCCATCTTAATCTCTACCCTTATCATAACATATCCATCCCATCTTCTTTCTTTCATAAAACTATAAACTACTTGCTTTTTCTGGCATAAGTCATCATCCCCCTAAACCGATGCAGACAGCTAGCTTCTGATGCCATCCGTCCTAGCTGGAACATGGCAGCTGAGCCTAGCTGCTCCTACCTGCATGTCCTGGTTTCAGCTGCAGGAACAATGCCAGTGGGGAATTATGGCACTGTAGTGTTTGTCAGGCTCTTATTGCAGCACCATTTAATAATGCTTGAAGCGTGACCTGCAGCAGCCCTGGTGCTTCTCCTGGCTTGTGTTGGGTCCCAGATACACTGTTAACAGATGGTAGTTTTTCCCAAGGTTTGTCCTTAAAGAGAACTGTTTTGTTTGGGGATTTTATTCTGTGCTTAAGGATCCACGTGAGCCGACCCTTTTTTGGCTTTGATCCTGGAAGTCTGGGAGTACTCAAGAGCCAATCGAGCAAAGCACTTCATCACATACTTAATCCTGTTCAGTTTGGTGAGACTCCTCACATGCCTAAGGGTTTCTCAGAGCTCTGAGCACCTTGGGGCATCAAGCCTATTACCCAGTGCTTCACCTCCCCGACCAGCTGCGTGTGATTCTTGGCCCTGGTGTGGCTCTGGGAAGTGAGCCATCCTTCTGGTTAGGCAATTGGCCAAGTCTGCTCAGCTGCTGTCCCTTCCAGGAACTGGCATCTCCAGGGAAAAAAGAGCACTGATTCTTAAACTCTTATGCATTTCACTGTTAGTTTTCTCTGGCTCATACTGCTCTTTCTCTCAATTCAGGAAACTTTGCCAGCTATAACTGCGGTGACTGCAAGTTTGGCTGGACCGGCCCCGACTGCAATGTGAGGAAGCCACCAGTTGTCAGGAAGGATGTCCACTCCCTGACAGCAGAGGAGAGAGAGCAGTTCTTTGATGCTCTAGACCGTGCAAAGACAACCATTCACCCAGACTATGTAATTGCAACTCAGCACTGGCTAAGTCTGCTTGGCCCCACTGGAGAGGAACCACAAATTGCCAACTGCAGTATTTATAACTACTTTGTCTGGCTTCATTACTACTCAGTCAGAGACACGCTATTAGGTTAGTGCTTTTCTTATCCAAGGGGCTCTGCAGGTAAAGTAAAGGGTGAAAAGTATCATTGCAGAACAAAGGTAAGTACGCTTAACAGAGCTGCATCACTTTAGCAAGCAGTGAGTCCCAGTAGGAGCAGATCTGTGGATTGAAAGAGTTGGTCCTGAGGAGCTGGTGGCCACCCGCGGTTGAGGAAGGTCTACTTCAGACCTGCTGCAGTCTGGTCCTGGTGACCGAATGCCTCATGTCAGCTGGAGCACACCAGCCGCACTCCTGCTGCATCTTCCATCTGACAGAGAGGCAGTTCACATGCTCCACTGTTGGGTGAACCAAAGTGTGGTCAGGTGGTGATCCACTTCAAAAAGATGTTCCTAGTCCACAGGACAAGGTAGATGCAGCAGCAGTGGGAAAGAGGCTCTGCAGTTTTGAAGGCAGAGACCATGCAGAGATGCTGGGGACTGAGGTGCTGCTGCTTTTTTGGCCTTCAGCAAGTCGCTAAGGACAGGGTTTGCCTACCTAACCATAGCCGGCTTTTAAAACCCAGCTCTTACAAGAGAAGGCAGCAGTATGGCTGTTCTACCTGGCAGTCCTACGTGCAAGCTGAACAGCCCATATCTACTTCCTTGCTAGAGGGTATCTGCCACCCTGCAGTGGGTTTTCTTCAGTGTGTCCTTCTGACACTGTTCCATTTTGCAAGGCTGAAAGAATCAGTCGCTGGCCTAGCAAGAGCAAAGGTCCATCAGGGAACAGGATGGTCATGTAGAAAGGGAAAGCGACAACTACCAGTGCTGCTGCATGGATAAACAAATCTGTATGTGGTTTGAAGCCCCTAGTGTTTGAATGTCTTAGTTCTCATATGCAATAACAAGAGCACAATACAAGAAATAACAAGCACAATTTGAAGAAAATTGGCAAAGGACATGTTGAATGCAGGTTATGGAAAATGCTGAGGTTTTCTTGATAGATACACAATCCAAGTCCTGCCACTGAGCAAAAGAATGACATAATATGGTACATATTAGCGAGGAGCTAAGATTTTAGACAATAAGACTGCTTTTTAAAACCAAAATCCACTCGAAGGCATAAGAAGTCTTCACAATATCCAACTTTCGGGGGAATGTGAAGTTTTGAGAAGCACTGAAGCAAACATCCACAGAGGAGTTTGTTTCACTTGTCCCATGTAAGTGTTGTGGCTTCTGATGC